ACCGCTTTTTACCATGATCACAAAACATGACACAGGTAATTTATGCATCATCCTGCTGTAACTTCAGTCCACTTTCAGCTTCTTTGGTGACCCTTTCTCTAAAGCCAGCAGCAGGTTTGCAAATAATACTGGTTTGAGACTTTCCTTGTCTGCACAGAGCAAGTAGTAGAAATCAAATATGGAGTTGAATGGAATGACAGTATAATGGACTCAATCATGTTAGCTGGGATTGGGTCTTACTTAAGCATATGTAGGTAATGCAGCTATCTGTATCTGAGTAGTTACTTTTGGCTCTTGTCAGTAAATACATATGCATACAGTAGAATGTGGTTCATTTGGTCTTAAAATAAATGTTTAAAATAAGTTAGAAGAATTGCTCCCTCTGAGAACACAGAAAAGGTCCAGGTCTTTATTTTTTCTTTCCTCTTTGGGAAACTCTATTCTCAGAAAGCACTGCAAGTTCGCTTGCCAGATGATTATTTTGTGGTGTTCTGCTTTAATTCCAATAAATGCTAAGCACCTGAGAAGAAATGAATGTAGCATAAAAGTCAACCCAAGATCTCCTTATTCAGCAAACATTTCTTAAGGATAATTTAGGGTTTCTGTGTACCAAGTGACATAAAGGGGGTGTTTACTGGAAGAGCAAGAAAACTGGCCTCACTGACAATCAGTGCTGTTCTGCTGACTCTCAACAACATAAAGGGAGGAAGGAAATCAGAGGTTTCTGCCTATTCCACCTTATACTCCATATAAGAGAGAACATCTGTAATTACTGGCAGAAAAGACTGGATGGAGAGGGAGATACCAGCTGCATTTATGTGCAAAACAGAGATGGAAACATAGTCTGTGTAATGGTAGGCAAAATATGTGCTCTGAAATGTTTTCTTAAGTATCATAGTAGCACTTTTAAAATCCAGGCATCAGCTCTTTGTTTCTCCTGATGAAGCTGAGTAGTAGCTCAGATACCTAAGATGAAGAACTTACCATCTAAAAGATGGAGTCAGACAAGAGACATATTTGTTCACTATGGAAAATGGAAAATGTAACCCATAAATAAACCCTTTCTGCTGCAATACTTTTTTGCCTGTGATAAGCCTCACAATGATTACATTTAGCTGTGTAGTGCTGGTACTTGAGAGGTTCAGAGTACCATTCTCAACACTGTAAGAGGCAGTGTCCTTTATATATATAGCATAGCTTTCTTTTCAGACTCTGTGCATCAGTGAATAACTTTCATGATTACAACAAGAAACAAGAAACAAGCTCTAAGCTCACAGAATTTTCTTATCTTTTACTTAATACTGCTTAGTAGCACTATAATTATTTTTTTTTTCTTTATGTGTTCTACGCTGTGATCTAGTTGGCTAAAACACTGCTATCTGATTGAATTAGGGAAAGAATAGACAAGAACAGGATCCAACATCTGGCAAGATGCAACTTGGACTTTCTTCCTGATTATGACTGTTTCAAATGCCAGGTGTCTATCACCTGGGGTGCAGTCTTTCTTTGGCAAAGTAAATCTATTACTACCTCTCTGAAGAATGCTGTCTCTGAATGATGCCGTTGCTAATGGAACACTGATTTACTGCCACAACTGTAAAGAATCTTTTTTAACATTGTGTTACACTTCCCATCAATTTAGATCAACCAGACCTACCATATGTGAGAAGTTATCTGCATTTTTCTCCAATAAAACTGAAATGATGAAAGCTTTGCTTTCCCTAAGGTATCATCCACTATTGGTAGCGCAGTTGTTTTTTCTTTAGCCCCCATCCTCTCTGACAAGACTGGAGCATATTATTCCTGCAATGCTTGCCAGAATTCTATGGCTTATTTGTTGTTTGAGACTCACCATATGTGTCTTTGATCCCTGCCTAGTAGGCACCTTGGCTGCTTGCCAGTTTGGCACTTAATGATTATCAGCGGTATGAATAGCTCCCTTGCTTCTGATTCTGTCCTTCTCGCTGTCATCAAATCACTCTTTAAACAACTTTCTTATTTTATTTTAGATGCTTGTAAATGACCGACTTATTTTTACTGTGCCTCTCTTGGCCAAGGGTTTGTGTCGCGCTGCAGGAAATCCAACAGTTCGGTGTTTTCACTTCTAATGATCTGACTGCCAACTACCTGTGTAATTGCATGGAAACAGTAAGCAGTACAGAAATCTCTCTCATGGTAATAGCTGAAGTTTCTCTGCATTTTACCCAAATGTGCCGATTCTTACCATCTGGTACACTCGGTGGCAGGATTTCTATGAGATTATTTATTTCAGTGAAAAGCATTCCTTTTAATAAACGTTTTAAAACCTTTGACCAGAATACAGTGAGCCAACGACAATGATAGATTCAGAGGAGTATCAAAATGATAAATGGTTTTTAAAAGACAGATGGAGAGCCTAAAGCCAGTCACGTGCAATTTCTGTTCACTGTTCTGACATACCACTAAACACATCTGAGTCCTTCCATGTGTTCCTGTAAACTGACATTCCTCCAAAATGCCATTTTTGAACAACAAAAAATATGCAGAATCAAGATAAAGAACAGCACAGGGCATGTAAAGATTCAGACCACAAGAGGACTGCGTGCTGCAGATCTGCCAGAAGTCTTGATTCTTCTTCACATGATTTTGCAAAACCTTCCATCAATAAATATGCTGGTAGTACCACTGAGGCTAGATAAGGTTAAGCAGCACGTGGTACCACCACAACATTCAAGTTAATTCGTATACTAGGGTGAAGTTAAGTAAGTTTTTTAACCCCCGCAACTAAATGACAGCATCAGCATGGTTAGGTCTGCCTAAGGTGCACTCAGACTCCTTCTACTTTCTATTGTTCCACATGAGTCTAGCCTAAGAATAGCAATTTGGTGTAGCTCTAAAGGTTTTAGCAAAGTGTTTTTTCAGTGGATAAATCATCATTATCCTAAGAACCAGCCAGTTTCAGATGAATATTGTGCAAATGCAATTATGTCTTTCGATTTTAAGGAAGCTGTTTACATATAATTAGAAGCATCAGTTGAAAAATTCAGTGCTAAATTGCCAAGAATGAAAAAGATATATATCTGTTTTCAGGAGAATGAGAGGGGCAAAAGAAAAAAACAAACAAAGCAACAAACTATGAAAATTTGTTTATTTGGGATTATATTTTCAAGTATCATCATTATGTTTTTCTTCTCTGCTCAACACTACTGGGATTTCAATTAAAAATGCTCCTTTTCACCTTTGTTAGTGGCACTCTGAGTCTTAAAGCAGATCTGTGCTACAAAATGTTGATAGAGGGCCTAGCATGAAATAGGACTGGGAAGCTTCGAGCCCCAGAAATACAGCATTCAAATCTGGCACAATGTTTCTCTGATTGCAATAAGAGTGACACAGAAAAAGGCTTATACCGAGTCTTATCATGAAACAAATTTCAGACGTATTTGTAAGAAAAACGATTGAAGGTTTGACTTCAGTGCTGAAGTAACTGGAGAAGAGTCCAGGTCAAGTAGGCAGGAGAGGTACACTGTATACACAGGCATACTCTACCTTTCTCACATAATTGTTTTGCAGCGTACTCCAATTTGCTAAGAAAACACAAACAATGCAAAACAAAAAATATTTACATCAATGCAGTATTTTCCTCTTCACATACAACACATCAGAAATAAACAGCCTGTCACAGGGACACAGAATAATGAGGCTTGTTTTATGATCAGCCTTTGTGTATTTTATTTCCAGTTTTACAGGTAGCAGGACTCAGAGTCAGCATGTTGCACGTAATTTGTGGAATCCTGAGCTTTAAACATGTAAGAATTTTAAAGGCAAATACTTGTCTGGTAGAAGAGAGAAAGGATATGAATTGTGTATGATTGCAGCCAACAGAGAATCGCCTCTGCACTTTCCTATGGGCAGGTTTGAAATTGCAGAGATGCCCAAGACTGGCATTTTATAACATACTGTAAAACCGTATTTTAAATGTTTTATTTCTGAAGAGCTGTCACAACCCTCAGAAAATAAACACTTCCCAGCCCTTCCAACTCGTTCCAGCATTGTTTTACACGGTTTCAATAGACAGAGGAGCAAGCCTGAAATACAAGAGACTGCCTTGAGAGTCTCAAGCCTATCAGCAAAGGGCTGAACCAGGGACTTGGCTGTAAACTTGCTAATCTTCTGTAGAAAACGAGGGAAAGGTGAGTGAAATTATGAACTCGCTGATACCCCAGAAAAGGAATTATCCAGAAAGCATAAGGTATTTCATTTGAGAGGAGCCTGGAAAACTGGCTGACACTGAAAGGAGCACTGAAGGAAGATGACAAAATATAACCTGCTGCTTTTGAGAGCTGTTAAGGGCGAGCAATGTGCCACTTGCTCTAAGTTTCCACAGCCCAACTGTAAAGCTGACACGCTGACAAGCACAGAAGACTTTTGTCAAAGATGTGCCACCATCTGAACTGCCAAACGGGAAAGGTTTTATCTGGAATCACCGGCACAGCCCCAGGGTCCCCAGCCAGGCCGGCTCGCTGTCAGCCCTTCCTTGGCCATCTCTCCTTCCCCTCCAGCCTTCCGCGGAAGCACGCAGAGCACAGCCTGCACTCCGCTCCCCCAAGGACGCGTGTGCTTGCCGTCGCCCTGCGGCAGAGCGGTTGGCTGTCCCACGTTCGTGGCTCCCGCCCGGCAGAAACGTTGTCCCCGCGTCCCCTCAGAGTTCCCTGCACGGCTTCCCGCAATGGCAGGCAGCTGTGGAGCCGGCCAAGCCGCCGCCTCCCGACGCGGGCAGGCAGCGCCCGGGCTGCGCAGCGCTCGGGACGGCGTGGAGGGGCAGGTGAGAAGCGGGGCAGCGGCGGCGGCCGCCGGTTGCGCTGAGGCGCGGTTGCCGCAGCAAACTGTAGGCGGCGGGGGTGCCGGCACGGCGGGCTCCCGCCTTCCGCCAATCGCAGGCGCTGCCGGGACCGGGCTGCAGCCAGTGGCTGCGGCAGGAGCGGGGCCGGGAAGCCAGGCTGGGAAGCCAGGCTGACCTTGCGGCCCGCCGGCCACCGCCCGGCCATGGGTACGGTACCGTCGGCGCTGAAGCACTGCCTCAGCTATCAGCACCTCCTCAAGGAGCAGCTGTGGATCGGGGAGCCGACCGCGCCTCCTCATCCCGGGCAGGTACCGCCCCGCGCCGCGGGGGGTGGAGGGGTGGTGTGGGGCCGGCCCTACTAGGCGCCGCAGCCGCCAGGGGGAGAACAGGGCGCGGTCGCCGCCATGTGCCTCCGGGCGGGGATCTGCCTCGCCCCGCGCTCACCTGCGGCACCGCTGCACCCTGCCTGCGTCCGGTCTCCGAGTGTCCGCAAACCGTGTTGGCCCTCTCTTGGTCAGTACTGCAGTATTTTTCGTTTGCCCGAGGGTACGAAGACCCTAAAGAGGGTTCTGGATAGGCTGGATCGATGAGATGAAGTCAACTGTATGAGTTTCAACAGGACCAAGTACTGGGTCCTGCACGGCGGTCACAGCAACCCCAGGCGATGCTACAGGCTTGGGTAGCATCAGAGTGGCTGGAAAGGTGCACAGTCGAAAAAGCTCTGGGGTGTGGGTTGACAGCCGACTGAGCATTGAGCCAGCAGTGTGCCCAGGTGGCCGAGAAGGCCAATGGCAGCCTGGTCTGTATCAGAAACAGTGCTGCCAGCAGGAGCAGAGAGGTGATCACATGCCTGTACTCAGCACTGGTGAGGCTGTACCTCAAGTGCTGTGTTCAGTTTTGGGCCCCTCACTACAAGAAAGACAACAAGGCCCTGGAATGTTTCCAGAGAAGGACAGTGGAGCTGTGAGGGGTCTTGAGCGCAAGCCTTTTTGGGAGCGGCTGAGGGGACTGGGATTGTTTAGTCTAGGGGAGGCTCAGGGTAAATGTTATTGCTCTTTACAACTACGTGAAAGGAGTGGCAAGGTAGGGGTCAACCTCTTCTCCCAGGTAACAGTGATAGGATGTGGGGTAATGGCCTCGAGCTGCACTGGGAGAAATTCAAACTGACTACTGTAATCTTTTTTTTTTTTTCTCAAAAGGAGTGGTCAGATGCTGGAACAGGCTCTCCAGGGAGGTGGTGGAGTCACGCTCCCTGGAGGTGTTCAAGAAACATATAGATTTGGCTCTGAGGGACACAATTAGTAGGCATGGTGGGGATGGGTTGACAGGCTAAATGATCTTATAGGTCACTTGCAACCTTTGTGATTCTGTGAACATGGCAGGTTTTAGACCATGCAGCTGGGCGTCTTCTGAGTCGATCCAGGATCAGGGATGATGCATTGTTAAAAAAGAGTTCCACTTGTGCATCTCGCACTTCCACCCCTCTGTTACAGTTCACAGTGTGAAAAGTGAGATAGTTTAAAAATGGTAGGGTGACAAAAATCTTGACAAGCCACAGTATCGACTTTGCTTACTTGAGTTCGCATTTCTCAAACTGAAGTTCTGGGCCTCTCTCTGGGCTGCCTGTGGTGCTGCCCACCATTCCAAACCATGTTGGTGTTGAGCCTGTTGCTGGTGCTGCTGCTGGCACCAGTGGAACTGTCATGCCCTCGTGTAGCATGCTGTGCTCTTACCAGCCATGGGCTTGTCATGGAGCCCACCAACACACTGGTCAGCAGGAATATTCAAATTTTTTTTCTGTATTACCTCCCCGTGCTTTTGTTGGATGGTTTTAGTAATTTTCTTCTGCTTTCATGGATGTTCAGATTTTCATTTTTCTCGCACAGATGCTCAAACAACACGCAAAAGTTTTCCTTATGCTTGAGTGCATCCTGCAACTACTACATTCAAGAAAAAATATATTCTTTATATGATAGAAACCATAGTAGCTCAGTTGATGGCTGTAAAAAGGTGAGATATGTGTTAGGTAGCTGCTGTTAAGACCTAGGGGATGGGCAGGCAGAGAGAGAAGAGGGGAGAGCTTTAAGTATGAGTTTGTTACCACATATACAAACATATATACCAAGGAGTAGAAGTTCAGGAGCTAAGAATCAATTGTTGCTGATCTGTAGTAGCTTTTGAATCAAAATTACAGGCCTAGTTACAAAATGACAGTCCAGTTTAGAAATCAAGTTAGGCTATGCAGTGTCTATAGCAGCAAAAGTGAATGGATTCCTAAAGGAGTTTGAAGCTTATTTAGTAAGGACTGTAGGAATAAACATTTAAGTGATTGTTGAAATATAGGCAGTTCCAAATTCAATTTTTTGATGACTTACAGTACATTGAACAAAAATGAGTTTGGACAGTTGGAATGTGTGCTTCAGTGTGAAGATTCATCTTCTACTTTCAATCAGTGCATCCTCCTCTGCTGTGGGAAAGTAGTAGCTCAACATAACTGGTTAATAAGCATCTTTCTCTTGGATAATTGTATTTTTATGTGCCACTAGCTAGATGTACTGAAAGGTGTGTCATATTAGTATTCATTTGCTCTGTTGAGAGCTGCTTATATCTATTACGTGCAGAGCTAAAATGATTAAAAAATAATGCTCTGGTCTCTTGCTCTGCTGGATGAGGCTGTGACTCTAGGAAACATAAATCTAAATAGTGCTGATGTGTACAGTGTAATCTTGTCTAATTTCTGGGTCCTTTGTTGGATGCAGTATACTGTTATTAACTGATTGATATGTTATCACAGCAAATCACGTTATACGTTAATGTTAGTTATGTAACTACAGATGAATTCAAAACATGTATAAACTTGTATAATAACAAACCAAAGCTCAGGTCCTCTAATTTAGACAGCTAACATCTGTTTCAGTGCTTAGGTCACAGTGATTTGTATGTTACATGCCTAATTATGTTTAATGACCTAGACCTAAAATGCACAGCCTTAAGATTCCCCCTCTACTCACCAACTGGCACTCTCGAAGCAGGAGATACACAGAAGAAAGACAGAGATCTTCTAGAGAAAGTCCAGAAGAGGGTTATGAGGATGATTAGGGTCTGTTGTACATCCGTTATGAGGAAGGCTGGATGTTATCAGCATGGAAAAGTCCGAGCAGGGATCTTGTCAGTGTGTATGAAAATCTCATGGGTGAGAGCCAAGTGAATGAGGCCAGGCTCTTTTTGGTGGTGCCCGGTGGTAGTACAAAGGGCAGAGGGCACAAACCACAACACAGGAAGTTCCATGTGAGCATGAAAAAGGGCTTCCTTTTTTGTGAGAGCAACAGAGTGCTGGGACAGGCTGCCCAGAGAGGCTGTGGAGTCTCCTTCTCTGGAGATGTTCAGAACCCACCTGGATGCTTTGCTTTGTAACCTACTGTAAGGAACCTACCTTGGCGGGGGCTTTGAATTCCATGATCTCCAGAGGTCCCTTCCAACCCCTACGATCTACAATTCTGTACTTGTCTTGCTTTTGCAGTTTTAAGTTAGTATTTTAGATTTTGCAGTATGCTGTCATTTTTTAATGGTATGCTAGAAACCTCTCAAATTTATTTTTAAAGTAATTCAAGAATGATGTGATGAAAACTGACAAATTTATCTGTTTTTGTCTTTGCCACTTGTGTTTAACAACTGATTCTTGGTTGAAATTGCAGCATAAAAATGGAGGTGTATGATATTATGCTGCCTGGAAAATCGAGGCATGCCTGTTATATTTGAAGCTTTTAGCTACTCCTCAGAGTGATTGATTTGAGACATACTGCATTTCATGTTCTTTTTATCTCTGTGTAATTTTATATTCCAGCAAAGAATGTGCATTGCAGACTCTGCTTAAACTGCTAGGTTATTTTAATTTTTTATTTAACGTGTTTAGCTTAAGAATTATTAAAAAAATCTTGTGTTGCAAATATATTATGGCATTTACAGTGTACAATAAAAATACATCGTAATTCACGTTCAGTTTGTTCTGTTATGCTGAAAGTTGCCTACCAAGTCTGTTTTTATGGGAGAAAAGAGAAGCTTGAAGTTGTAAACTTTATATTGTGGAACTCTGGTTTCCTAATTTTTAGAAGGGTGATGTTACTGAAAGATGCTTAATGAACTCAGTACAGAGAAAGAACATTAATTTCAAGGAGTGAAGATCTGGCGTCCTCTTTTTTTTTTTTTTTTTTTTCCCCCCCCCCCTCTCTTTCTCTCTGTGCTTTAGCCACTGTCTTTATCTCATTGTGTTTTTGTTCCGAAATTCCAAGGTATTCAGACTTAACATTGTCTTTCATGTAGTTTAAATAACTCATTGGTAAGCAACTTAGAAATTTCTGATTTCTAACCCTGCTTGTTCCTCTACATGCAGGGGCCGTGTCATGCATCCCAAGAGTGAGACTTTTTTGGTTTGTTACAGATTTCTTCAGATTTCCAAGCATTGTTTATTTATTTGATAAGGCAGAAGGCATACAATCTTATTCAACCAATGAGTACAATCAGAAGAATAAAGGAGGAAGGATTACTCAAAATAAAGAACAATTTAAATTGTTAACTGTTAGGTTGATATCAGCATTTCTTGATGACTTTGGAGATGGTAGATGCTGCTTGACACATATTAACACTGAAGGTACAAAATAAAACACAAAACACACTCCTACTGAATTTAAGAGCAGTAGAGAGTACAGTATCAAACTCTTTCCAAAATTTTCCTTTAAGTCAAGAAGAATTTTCCCTTTAGAAGATTAGTTCAGTAGACTCATCTCTATTTTTTCAGCCAGATATTCTTCATGCTGTGATTTAACGGCTTGAGAACATCGCTGGATAAAGCATTGAAGAGTGGAAAGTCTGAAAAGGCCAAGCAGTCAGTTTTCTGAAAGTGCCAAGCAGAACGTTAGAAGGTCAAGGTTGCATAGTAAAATTTAGGTTTGACACAGGTGAAGTCACAGACTTTTTTTTAAATGCTATTGGATTGTGAATAATGGAAAGATAACAGAAACTTTTTAGCTGATACAGATTTATCCTATATTGGGATTATTATGTGGGTTTAGAACTTCGTAATGCAGCTGGAGATGTTGTAAAGGATTTTACAGATCTTGCTCTGCAAATTTGGGAATTAAAAAAATACACAGGAAATTTCTGCTCAGACCCAACATCTGTTTTTTGGTGAGATCCTGTTTTTGACTTGTCCCACCTCCACCTCCTTCAAAGACTGCATATGGGCAGGGATGTTCATTTCCTCTCTTGCCAGCTCAAGGAGGGAGATTAATTTCAGACACCCCATGTGTCA